TTCGATTATTCTGAATAACAAGATCCTTAATGATTATAATATTATATCTGAATAACAAATTGGCTTTAAGAAAGACTGCAGGACCTCTGATCATGTATTTTTTCTCAAGTCTCAAAATTAGAACAAAATCACAGCCTCATTTAATATGTGTTTTGTGGATTTGGCAAAAGCTTTTGATACAATTTGGAGGAATGGACTGTTTTACAAAATGTACAGAAATGGGGTGAGTGACAAGTTCATCAAAGTCATCAACAGTATGTATAAGGAGTTAAAATCATGTGTTAGAATGGAAGAAGGGTACACAAATTATTTTGAAAGTAAGTTAGGCACTCGCCAAGGGTGTCCACTATCACCGACCTTTATTCAACATATTTGTGAATGATTTACCAAGTGTTCTAATGAAAGATAAAGCTGACAGCCCAATTTTGGGTAAAGAACCAATTCCATGCCTTATGTATGCTGATGATATAGTCATCCTATCAAAGACAAATTCTGGACTACAAAACTCCCTTTTTAAATTACAAAACTATTGTAAAAGCTGGAAATTAAATGTTAGTGTAAAGAAAACAAAAATTCTGATTATGAACAAAAAAATTGATAATTCAGAGAGTTTCTATATTGATAATAAAAAGATACAGACTGACAATCAATTACCATATTTAGGAATCAATTTTAACTCAAAAAGTACCTTCAAAACCTGCATTAAATCATCGACTCTGAAAGCACAAAAAAGCTATTTTTCAATTAGACAACAATTCAATATTTATGCCAATACCCAAATTAAAATACTATGTTATTTATTTGACAGCATGGTAAAACCAGTTTGTATACACAAAAAGTATATGGGAGTGAAATATGGGGTGCCTATACCATCATTTGTAACTTTTATAAAACACATGTTAGAAACACTTATATGTAACAAACTCTGGGAAGCTAATAATCTAAATTCTAAAAACATAAAAAGAATTATTCAAAATAAACTTAAAGATACATATAACAATGAATGGATGATACAACTCAATAAAGACAACAATCAAAATGTTGGCAACAAATTAAAGACATACCTACTGGTAAAGAAAAATTACAAATTTGAAAATATAAAATAAGATCAGCAATTACAAAATTAAGAATTTCAAGCCATAACTTGCCAATTGAAAAAGGGCGATACAATAATATCCATCAAAAACAAAGAATATGCAAATTGTGCGACTCATCTGAAGTGGGTGATGAAAAACACTATGTTATGAACTGTTCAAACTCAGATATTAAATCAAATAGAGAAGTTTTTTTCACAATATTAGCTTTCCAGAATTTGAAAAACTAAATCAAGAATGTAAATTCATTTATTGGTTAAAGCGAACCTAAATGCGGCCTTAATTTATAGTTGTGTATATTCTAAACTGTATTCGAAATAATATTGCAGTGGTTTAATTTTTTTTTAATTATAACTGTAGCTTGGATAGGCATTTGAAGTGCTTGCAAATAAATACCATGGAGGTCATTCATGGAGGGGAATAAATAACGAACGAACATATTTAACATCCGGATACTTTTCAAAGCTGTGACGTTTTAGTATCTGATCGCATTC